TTCAATATGACTGAAATTAGATGGTTACTCAGGTATTGTAGAATGAAAAGAATTGTGGGACAAATCAAGGTATTCAAGAAGGCTAAACTAGATAGCCAATTGGGTATTGTAGAATTAAAGAGATTGTTGGACAGATAAAGATATCCAAGAGAGGTGATGTTTCTCAGACCACTTGGAATTGATCCACGTAAACCACATGATCCCAAATTGAGATGATCAAGGCTACGAAGACTAAACAACCAATTAGGTCGGATGAAGGATTCAGAAGGGCTACGAGAAAGATCAAGGACAACAAGAGAAGTAAAATTAACAATATGTAAAGGAGGAAAGTGATAAATCCAACAATGGACTAAGTGTAACTCTACCAAAGAAGGGAGCATGTTGATTTGCTACAACAAATCATGTGCTTTGCTGAGGTTCACGTTCTTCAGATAAAGTTGCTGTAACAGGGAACTACCAGAAATCCATTGAAGAGTATGAGCATATAGATTGCCATAACCTTCAAGTCTGGGAGAGTGCAAATTGGAGAGGTTCCCCAGTTGATGAGGAATCACTCCTTCCAAATCTCCCAGAAGATCGAGGGAGTGCAACCAGAGAGGTTTCCTAGTTGACTCGGGATGACACCTACAAATCCAGCACGGGGGAGATTAAGATATCTTAAACTCCCCAAGGAACCAATAAAGCTTGGAATCTGAATCCCATCAAAATAGTTACCGCTAAGATCGAAGTCAGTCAGATGCTTCAAATCTAGTAAGGATGGATTTAGCTTACCTCCCAGCATGGACATTAGAAAAGCTTTAATTTCATCATAACTAAATATAGCTTCAAGAAAAGGATTTCAAAGGTGGAGCTCCTCAACATTGCCTGTTAGATTGTTACAGACAACTCCAACCCATTCACAACAATCCCCTCCTGATTGATCAGCACCCCATGAGAAGAGGCGATTTGACGGATCGCTTAGATCTTAGACACTTTTTACTGAGCGGTTGGCTCACCCTATCATATTATTACATTTTTCAGGTCATGGGAAGGAAGTGGAAGACGACACTCCTCTACAAGTTTGAATGGGTTAGTGGACTGTTTTGACAACTTTTAAATTAGTAATCTCAATTTTTTTTTTTTCTTTTTTTTAGCCTTGGGATGGCACGTATATTATGTATCGACCTTAGAATTGACCATAGTGCCCTTAGAAGACCTCGGGTTCAGATAAGGACCCGGTAAACGATTCTGACCCTTGGGTTTGGGTCGTTATAATGAAGATTACATAAAGGTCCTATATATAAGAGAAGGTTTGGGCTAGGTGAGTGATGAACAAGTAACTTGTATATACTAATATGGTAGGTAATCATATATGGTAATTTGTAGCAGGGAAGATACCAATGTGGTAGATAAAAGGATAAACTTATAATTTAACATAAAAAGTAATTACATTGTCCAATATCCGTATCCGACCCATTAAACGGGCTATAAAATAACAAATTTAACTTTATTATTTAATGTTAAATTAAAAACTAAAAACAACCACACAACACGCGCACACATAAATTAGTTAATTAGGTGTTATTAAAGCCAATTCCTATATTTTACGCCGCTTGAGTAATTGCATATTGTTTTGTTTTCATCACCATTTGTTTAATTTATAATCATTGTCATTACCTTCCTTTTAGTTTTATGAAAATTGTAAATATGATTTGGTCAATAAGTTGAGTTTGATTCTACAAAGTCGGAGGTTATGTTAGTTTTGGAAGAGAATGGAACCTATATATATGTTGTTCCACATTACACATTTACTGAAAAAATATATAACGTGTGATGAGCACTGAAAAGTGCGTATTTAAACCCCTCAAGCTTAGGCATTCTAGTACCTTTATCTATCTTACTTTACCGTTTTAGATTAATTTCGTAATATTTCCATTTTCAGGCACTTATCCCGAAAATAAGCTAACTCAGTCAAATAAGAGCTTAATTGAAGCAATTCTAGGATTAAATAAAGAAAGGAGCAAAGTGGAGAAAGAAAGAAGCAAATGAAACCAAAGGTGGGGAAGCAGCAAAGTTCGATTGATCCAACTTCAAGGTTCGATCGATCGAACACTGATCGATCTCAGCACTTCAAGATAGATCTAAACCTTGACCCAAAAGCAAAAAGTCCAAAGTTCGATCGATCCAACACTACCCTTCGACCGATCGAACACTTTTGTCCTTATTCAAATGATTGATCTCATCCACAGCTGTACCATCCACTAACCACTTTTGTCCTTTTCCCAAAAATGTCTCCCAAAATATCTCGGATTTGTCTTTTCCCAAAAAGCTCAACCAGTTGGATCGATCCAGCCTAAGTTCGATGGATCTCAGCCAGTTCGATCGATCCAAGTCCAAGGTTCGATCGATCGAACTTCCTCTAGTGCGAAAAAGTTAAAAAGCCAGCTTATTCAATCCATCCTCTATCCAATCATTAGAGAATATTCTTTGCACGACCTTAGCTCATTTGGTGTGTCACTTGACCTAGCTATAAAAGGAATATGATGCACTTTTGGGGGGGGGGGGGGGGGGGGAGACTTAGCATTTGGTAGATACAATTTGAGAGGCTATTCTTAGTGTAGAAGAAAAAGAGGAGTAGGCTAGAGACACCATTGGAGTTCTTCATCAACAAGGAGTAGATTTCAACCATGGAGTTAGCATTTGAGGGTTGGAGTAACATCACTATGAGTGGCTAGACATCCTCTTGGGGCTAGAGTTAGCCCCAAACATGCTTTCTATATCTTAATCTTGTGTATTATTGAGGGATTAGTGTTGTAATAAATGTTTTGAGACTTTGATATATATAGATCTTGATTGTTCAATGATTTATGTGGTTAAATACTTTCAATTGATCATTTTATTCTATCCATATGTATATGTATGCTAAAATAGATGTTCACGTGCTTGTCTCTAGATTTTGTGTTATTGATGCATGTCTATGTGTATTGATGCTATAGATTTAGAGATTGTCAAAACATAGTGCTTAATGGAATGCTCTTGTGATTTTCTTGATGGTTTATACTTATTCCTTGATGGATTGTGCCTCTCCCCTTGTTTATTTTCTTGCTAGTAGTGTAGATGTAGTGTAGTTGTAGTGTAGTGTTAAATGGGAGGACAATCCATGCTTGTTGTTTGATGATCTAAGCTTTTGAATGCAAGTAGCATATGTCTCTAACCTCGTGTTGTATTTGGATTGTGAGCTTAATGAAATGATTAATGACTTGTTTTGATCTATTGTGACTTTCACATGTTGTTTAGACAATATATGCTTCATTGCTTAGATATATTGTGCCTTTCACATGATGTTTAGACAATACATGCTTAACTAGTCATCCTTACTTGTTGAATCATCCAAACACACACACACACCAATATTGCAACACACCATTTGCCCTCATTAGTCACTTGTCAACGGTATAGAAATGCATTGCTTGGTGGTGATCTCTAAACCCCAAGACTCTTCTCTCTCTTACTTACTCTTAGTTGCATTCTTTTGTTATTACTTAATTCAATTTAGTTGCTCTCTAATCAACCAACCAACCAATTTTTTGATCATTCGACCTACTAGCCCTAATAGCGATTCCACAACCTTGTTCGATCCTCACAATCCCTTGGGACGATCCCTACTCGCCCTAGCTATATTTTTAGTGAAGGTAGTAGTGGCTTCTATAAATGTAAAACTCTTGGCCCTCGCCTTAAAATACACACTCTCCAAACTTTATGGTGGTAGTGCGACCTCCGGCCACACCAACGTGTATGTATATAAATATGGAAACCATTGATCGATCAAGTATGAGAATATGAGAACAATCCTTTTATTTTTTTGTGGGTGTTTGTTTAATTTATCCCAACTTGTAGGACAAAAGGACATAATTATTTTTGTATTTTTAATTTCAATTTAATCCGAACAAAGAATTAAAATTGTAATTCAATTCTACATGAATTCTAAAATTGGCCAAAACAAATGTATATGGAATTGAATTTGTTGAATGTCAATTACATGAAATTGAAAATTCAATTCAATTCTAATTCTATGCAACCAAACCCAAACTTATTATATTTCCCTTAAACATAATTCACTGTCTTCAAAAGTGATCTGGCCCCATGAGAAATGCATTATTCTTGATACCATGGTGCATATGGTTGACAGGCGGTCCCACCATTTGATAATTAGAAAATCAAGAAATTGATAAATAAGGAAATAAGAGAGGGTGACTATATTTATTCTTAAAAAAAATTATTGTTCTTTTTTTTTCTTCATTTTCCGGATTTTGTAATTAAGAATTATTTGTGCATTTAAGATTGGATCACATAAGTGGTCGGTAGGGTTGACCTTTGTCCCATTAATTAAGTGGTAAACATCTCACTTAAATGCAATAACTTAAACAAGACACATTGTAGCTTAGTGGTATTTCAGGGATTCAAATCCTGAAATAGCTGCATGAATTTCTTGTCAAGAGAAAAAAATGCATGCACTTAAAATTTTGGGTTACATTTCTAATTGATTTAAATCCAACCTTAATCTCACGTCTAATCATTAAAGTTTCCAATAATCAAAGGATCAGAGTAAAAAAGTGGAATTCAAGATTCAAGTTCAGCACCATGAATTGGGTTCGTAACTCGAGATGATATAATTAAACTTATTTCGCCTCTCAAGGTAATTAAATCACTCATATCTCTCCTAAAATTAAATTGAATTGAGATTTCAAAACCTAGCTCTTAAAAAAAGTAATTGCAACTGTGTGCAAGCAGCTTGTGCATTTCAATTATATATGACAAATCTCTCAAAATTTTTTGGGGCATTCATTTGGTTAAAGTGACTTGTTACCTTCTTTTGCTTGTTGTTTCCATTGATGATGATGATAGGGAATTGATGTAAGAGGAAGATGCAAGAATACTTCAATCAACTTCACACGAAGAAAATCATATATTAGATTACATAGGTAGAAAAGATCTACACTTCTTTATTTATGTATACCATATCATCCACGTGAAAATGTACCAGCATGAAACATATACCAAATGTTGTCCATGAACCGAAAGCATACAAATCTCCATGACTTGTTAAACAAAAATGGACCGACTACCACCCAAAATCCCACCACAAATCCTAGTGCCATGCTCATATAAAACCAATCCACTTCAAATTCATTGCCTCTTTTACATGCTCCATTTTGAATTGTAGAGGGTGTATCATTAGCATTGCAGTTGTTATTAACTGGAGGCCCACACAGATTGTTTCCAACAAAACTGGATGCACTGAAACTTTGAAGTTGAGTGCTTGATGGTATCTTTCCACTCAAATTGTTGTAGGACAAGTTCAAGTGACTTAGGAATGTCAAACTTGATATACTTGGAGGGATTTCACCAAAAAGATGATTCATAGAGAAATCAATGGCTTCTAGTTGTTCCATAGCACCAATATCCTTTGGAATTCTTCCTGTCAAAAGATTATATGACAAATTTAATGAATGAAGCCCCCGGAGACTCGTCAATTCCTCAGGGATCTCTCCTGATAAATTGTTGTTCGAAAAATCCATGCTCGTAACTAGTTGAAGAATGGTGCTATATCCACGCATTTGTCCTTTTATTACCAATAATGCATTCTCTAAAAAACCTTCAAAAGAGAATGCAGTGAAAGAACCAGGCCGGTATGACATTTGTTCACTTGAGTTTTGTTGTATGGCCATAGTGCTCAAATTCATGAAACATGCTGGTATACTTCCTGAAAAATTATTATGCGCAAGGTCCAAGATTTGAAGTGAACTGAGTGCACAAAGTTTCTTAGGAATGTGGCTTTGAAACTTATTTGATCTTAGGATAAGAATCTTGAGATATGAAAGCCTTTCTCCTGTCCATGTGGGTATACTTCTTGAAAATCCATTTTCACCAAAATCAATAGCCATTAATCTTATGCAATTTTGCAGTGACAGAGGTATTTCTCCATATAGGCTATTGTTTCGAAAATGCAATGATTGGAGAAAATCTAGAGATCCCATGGAGCTTTGAATTTTGCCGCTTAGATTGTTATTTGCTAAATTTATGAACTCCAAGTTATTCCAACTTGCCCAACAGTTGGGCAGTCCTCCTGACAAAAGATTTCTTTCTAAATTAAGAAACTGCAAGTTCTTAGATTCATCCATCTTGTAACACAGAAAGTAAGAAGTAGATCCAGAAAATGCATTGTTTGAAAGATCTAGTGTTGATATATTTGCCGACAAACGAGGCAGTGTACCATTTAAGTGGTTGGAACTTATGTCAATTGTAGTGAATGGCATAGATGCAGCTAAAAGCTCATCTACAATCTCACCATGGATATGATTGTGAGATAAATCTAAATTTGAAATCTGAGATGATAAGTTCCAAAACCACCTAGGAATGGTACCCGAAATTCCTGTATGCGACATGTCTAGAATCAATAAATTTTTCTGTGAGTGGAGCCAATGAGGAAATTGTGGACCTAACCGACATGACCTAAATAACAATTCCCGAAGTTGGAATGGAGGAACCCAATTTGTACTGACACTCAAGGACAATTGATTCCGAGATCCATCGAGAAACTTCAATTTTGTGGGGTTGGCAAAGTGGACTTCAGAGATGACACCTTTTAATGAATTTTGTGACACAAAAAAACTCTCAAGTTGTGCAAGTTGACCAAGACTCTCAGGGAGAGGTCCACTCAAATTAGTGTTATAAAGACGTAAATACTTCAGAGAGCATAATCTTCCCAAGGACACTGGAAGTTGACCAGAAAGAAAATTATCAGAAAGATCAAGATAGACCAATTTTTTAGATTTTCCAAGTTCAGGAAAATGGCCCCAAAGTTTATTCTTGCTTAAATCTAGAGTTTCTATTTCATCTAAAATGCAACTAGACAAAATGTTTGAAATCTCCAATATATCACCACCAAGTTCGACACTTGCCAGATTGAATACTTTCAAGTTGCAAAGATTTTTAAAGGATCTTGGCAATCCCCCTGGGAACAAATTCTTTGACAGATCAAGATATTCAAGATGACTGAAATTAGATAGCCACTCAGGTATTATAGAATTGAGGAGATTATCAGAAAGATCAAGATATCTACGAGAGGTGATGTTTCTCAGATCACTTGGAATTGATCCATATAAACCACAGAATCTCAAATCGAGATGATCAAGGCTACTAAGACTAAGCAGCCAATCAGGGATCAAAGATTCAAAATCGTTACTAGAAAGATCAAGATATCTAAGAGAGGTGATATTTCTTAGACCACTTGGAATTGATCCATATAAACCACATGATCCCAAATTGAGATGATCAAGGCTACGAAGACTAAGCAGCCAATCAGGTGGGATGAAGGATTCAAAAGGGTTACCAGAAAGATCAAGGACGGCAAGAGAAATAAAATTAACAATATGTAAAGGAGGAAAGTGATCAATCCCACACTGGACCAAGTGTAACTCTATCAAAGAAGGAAGCATGTTAATTTGCTGCAACCAATCATGTGCTTTGTTGAGGATCACGTTCTCCAGATAAAGGTGATGCAACAAGGAACTACCAGAAATCCATTGAAGAGTGTGAGCATATAGATTGCCCCAACCTTCAAGTCTGAGATGGTGTAAATTAGAGAGGTTCCCCAGTTGATGAGGAATCACTCCTTCAAAATTATCCCGAAGATCAAGGAAGTGCAACCCAGAGAGGTTTCCTAGTTGACTCGGGATGACACCTCCAAATCCAGCATAGGAGAGATTAAGATATCTTAAGCTTCCAAAGGAACCCATGAAGCTTGGAATCTGAATCCCATTAAAATTGTTGCCGCTAAGATCCAAGTAAGTCAGATGCTTCAAAACCTGTAAGGATGGGTTTAGCTTACCAACCAGCACAGACCTCTGAAGAGCTTCAAATTCATATTCATCATTATACATGAACAGAGGATTTCAAAGGTGGAGCTCCTCAACATCGCCTGTTAGATTGTTACAGACAACTCCAACCCATTCACAACAATCCCCTCCTGATTGATCAGCACCCCATGAGAAGAGGCGATTTGACGGATCGCTTAGATCTTGCTTGAATCTCAGAAGGGCTTGTCTTTCACTCTCCACGCAAACCACATGATCAGAGTTGTTGTTTCCAATGTATTTATAGCAGCAGGTGCCAGATCCTATCGCTCGCGAAGCATATTACGTGTCGGTCTAGTCTGTTTGTGGGGGCAACGACTTCGAAATTCAAAGAGTTCATGGTGATTAGACCTTTGCTTGGGAAATGATCGAGCATGAACACTAACAAGACTTTTCTAAGAATGTACAATATAAATTGCAGTACACTTACTACCGTAGAAGCTAACTAATTGGAATTGATCAATTAAAATGTTTACCGAATTATTTATAATCGAAACTTATTCTTTTAAATGATGTTTAAATTTTGTTATCATACACGCTTCATTTTAATACAAGGGCACAAGGATATCCCCATCACTAATAATTTTCTTTTTACCAACTTCAAAGAAAGGAATTAATTATTTTTAACAACCTACAAATCACCGTATCAGGTAAGTAGTTGAGGTGTTGTCAACATTTGATGATTAAGGTGATGATTCTGAAACCATCAACCTTTTACAAAGTCATGTGAAATCTCCCTGATTCTTCTTGTTAGAGTATGTTGTCTAACACTTCTGTCGAGAAAAATTGGATAAAATTGAGAGTGCATGACACGTGATATGAGTTCCACTTAGACCCATCACTAACTAACTAATAGGAATTGACCAATTAAAATGTTTAAATTTTGTTATCACACAAGCTTCACTAATCTTTTCATAACAAATACATTATAGGCTTTGCAGAAAGTCTTTGCGTGTTGTTTGGGCAAAACGCTTCCATAATTTCATTTTAAGTTTTTAGATTTTTGCATAAAAAATATTTTTCTATATTTTGTTGAAAAGCTAATAATAAACTACTTAAATGTTCATTTAGGGCCCTCAAATTTTATTTATATGTTCTAAAATTTTAAATTGTATTTTTATTTTATTTTTTTTCCCTACACCCGTCTAAAGAATTATTTGCACTTAACGGGAATCTATCCTGATTATTTATTATATGTATAAGTAGGTGGTTCCATCGAACAGTAGGGTTTGTTGGGCGCCAGTAATTAAATCACAATGGTGTTTTTGGGTCCATTTTCAATTTTGTATATGAAGTTCATTCTAAAATTAATAATTTATTGTTGTATTTTTTTATTTTTTTTAGGTTGGGGTGAGGGGATGTATGAGACATGCTATTATTTTAGTGGGTATTTGAATTATCATTTGCTTAGACTAGAGAATTAAACACCACCACACCACCACAGCCCGCACGAATAACTAAATAGATAAGTGATCTTTTGGGATATAGCGTAAACATCAACATGTTAATTTCGACTCTAAACTTCGACGTGTCAATCGTAAACTCCCAATTTGTTAATTTTGACTTTAACAGAGAGCAAAATATCTGAACTTGAATGATACACGTGATTTGCGGACGATCCGGTTGCGCGTATTTAAAAATATAAAATAAAGTAAACTATATGTTGTGAGATTTATATGTACTACTCGCAAGTGTACGAATCTATACAGATAGGATTTACTTGTAAGGGTGTCATACCCAAGAAACTTGTGTAAAATAAGTTTGTCAACAGATTTCTTAAATTCCAAATTAACTTGAAAGTAGGATAATCGAATTGTGATGATTTATTCTAAACCAACTAAATAGAAAATAAAATAAACTAAAGAACAATGATTAAATAGGATGTAGAAAATAGAGGAGAGAAAACTAGGGGTATGACTTCACCACTAACATCGCACCACCAGTTAATTGCATCAATTTATTGGAGATATACCATATAATATGCACATGGAATTAATCATGGCTATAAACACATATTAATTCAGCTAGAAAATAATATAATTTAAAGCTAAGCATGGATTATCTTCGATTAGTATAAACCATCTACCTATCTACTTTACTCTAGGGTGTAGCATGGTCTATCTTTTCTAGGCATAATCCATCGAATCTCTAACATTATATTCAGGGGAATACCATTGTGTAATCATCTCATTCACAACTACAAGAAGTGAATGAGTTATGTTCAATCACAAGATTAAAATATCTAACTAAGACAAGATAGAAAAATATTTGTAATTGAATTAAAACTCTAAAACTGATTTTTATTGAAAAGTCAATTAAAAATCCTATAGATTACACAATCATGCATGATAAAATTATTTCTCTAATAATTAAATACAATCAAACCAGTGTGCTAAGTTAGGGCTACATCACAACCCTAGCAAAGGGTTTTGCCAAGCGTGACTGGAGTGGAATTCTTCATGGTTGAGGACGACATCTTCACCGCCATGGATTGATCTTTTCTTTCTTCTGAATGCTTCTCTTCTGATCTCAGCCTCAAGCTCCTCTGTATAACCTTCAATGCTGTAGAGGACTCCCTTTAAATAATAAAAAATCAGCCCTAAATTTTCCTTTTTCACGTAGAACACATACACAGAAATTCTATCAAATAAGGACTCCAAAATTCGTATAGACTTCCACGCCAATTTTGATATGGTAAAAAGCTGTTTTATGGAATTCTCGTGAAATACAAAATTGTAGCTCTTCGAATTTTCGTTCAATTCACATAAGAATGTAGCTGTTTTGACACTCGAGTAGAGAGAAACAACCAGATTACCAAAACGGGTTCAAGTTACCAACTTTGGCGAAAGTTTCCTTTTTGGAGAAGGGTTTTTCCTTTTCTTCTTCTTTCCATTCTCATCCACTTGTGGCTTCTTTTGGACTATTTTCTAAGTATAATTAGACTTGGATCTTTAACATTGCTTGGTCCCATGAAATGTCATCTTTTAAAGCTCAAAATCACTGGTCTTGACTGATTTTACAATTAAAGCCCTGAAATAAATAAAAACAATAAACAATGTAAAATCACAAATAAAGTATTATTAAGAGAATAAAATATACAAGTAAAGGGGCTAAAATGTATAACATTCAGCGCCTAACACACCCCCAAACTTACTTATTGCTTGTCCCATAGCAATAAAACTAAAGAAAATATAAATGCCGCTTTCGTGGGAATCACGATTGCATTTAGCGTATGCAACAAGCCTTTTAAACCTCTAGGTTACCCCTAGTGGATGAGTGAAGTCTTGTGAGGGTTTCCAGAGATGATACCCACAAATATACAACAAAATTCAATCCTCTGGCAATCAACTTATTCTCATATCATCACAATAATCTAAGGGGAAGATTACACAAAAGTACTTTAAAAATTATCATCTGACTGTACTCCTTAATCCATATTTTCATACTTCATCTCAATGTTTCCCACACACTTATCTAACAAGAACAATAGCAAAATAAGTCCCCAATGTTGTGAAATTTGTGAACTAGCAAATCACCTATGTAGTAATGTTTTTTCAATTGAACCCAACTTCTATAACTTCAATTTCTCAGATCTTTTCTCAAGTTATTTTCTATAGCAAAATATTATTTATTTCTTTATTTCTTGATTTATTTTTTTTCACTTATCCTTACCCTCACTTCTTCATGCGAACGCTCTGTGTATATGAGACTTGAGCCCCGATTACTCCATGAAAGGGTTACGAAATTATGATTCTTTTTTTTAAAATATCTATGCCATAGTAATAACCTTCAAAGTTCACCAATTCATATCCATCCATAGTCATTAGAATTCAACCAAAAATACAAATACCCGTAGATAAAATTCTAGTGTGTATGTGAAATCCATCAGGACCGACAGTTACTAAAATTCCTATTATACTAGATAATGGAACCCACATAAAATAAAGCACAAAAATTAGGGATTCAAGACAATCTCAGAAACAATTTAAAAAAGTACTTAAGTGTCTTAATCCCCCCAACAATTCTCAAATACTTGAATTAAAGTTAATATGCCAAAGAAAAAGAATTGAATTTATTTATTTATTTATTTTTTGAATTAGTAGAGTACGCTATGCCCCCAAACTTGAATTGAACAGTGTCCTCACTAGGCAAAAATCAAAAGCAAGAAAAATAAGAACTAAAAAGAAAATAAAAACAAAGAACGAAAGCACTTAACATGATAGCTAAAATGGAGCCAGTGGAGCATCGGGATTAAGCCTGTAGTGAATCATAAATGCACGCATCATGGCCATCTTTGACCTTTGATCCTGACGAATTTCTTGAATTTCAGCTCTGAGTTGGGACATCTCACCCATTTCTTGATAATGTGCCTTGAATCTCTTATTTTTCTCCAAATTTGTGCAAACAATATGGGCAATCAAGTAATGGTAATGGAAGTGGGTATGGTGAAGGATTTTTAATGTGGGTAGGAAAGGTGGTGTAGAGAAATTTATGAAGATTGATGTTTGGGTTTTGAATTTTATAAGGATGATGGATTGTGGTAATATGGAATGTAAGGATTGAATGAAATGAGGTAAATTAATGGTGGGTTATGTATAGATTGTTGTAGAAAAGGAGTAGGAATGGAAAGGAAATTTATTAAATTTGATAAGATGGAATGATGGAATTGTGCAAGGAATGGTGGAATTGAAGATGATGGGCAGTGGGTGAGAGAAGGAAATTAGGGAAAGTGTTAAGCAAAGCCAAAACTGCCCCTTGAAAAATTTATTGCCTGCAGCTTGTAAAACTACCTTTTTTTTTTCTTCTTCTTCCGGGCTACCTGAAACACCATTATTCCACCTGGGTGTGTTGCCGGAAAAGAGATTGGCAGCGCGGCAATGGGGATCGCTGGAAATGCCATATATATATATATATATATATATATATATATATATATATATATATATATATTTGCTGGTTGCTGCTGCATCGCCATGGGTGACGGTCATCGTCTTACCGCACTGAAAAAATTCACCAGACGACGATCA